CGACTAGTCTCCTTAGCTCAATGAAATCCACCCTCCTGAAGTCCAGGGCTGCTGTCTTGCTGCAGGCCTTTGCCACCCTGCACTGGACAGTGAACTCCAATAGGCAACGATCACTATCACCCAAGTGATTGAGCACCCGCAGTCCCCTCACCAGGTCATCGCTCATAGCCAGGACCAGGTCTAACAAGGCATTTCCCCTGGTGGGACTGTACCTCCTGGGTTAGATGGAGGTCCTGTAACATGGCTAGGAACTATGTGAGCGCTCCTAGTGAATGGGAGCGAGGCAGTGAGAAGAGGAATGGGCAGACACACCTGAGCTTTCTGCAGCCAAGCAGTCCAGATGTAGCAGGAGTTTACCATCCAAAGAGCTGCCATTCAACTGGAATTCCAGATTAGCAATATCATAAAAGGAGACCATGATGATGACTAAAAATGTCTACATCAGTAATCTAAGCAGAACAATGGAAAGTGAGCCTATTATCTTCAACATAAAGCAAGAAGATAAACTTAATAACATAAAGGACAAGCAAAATATTTCCTCTTTCCCCATCCCCTGTAAGATTTGTCTTGGTAAGTTGATGATTAATGACAATAGGTGGGTGCCTCAAATACTCAGCCAAGCCTACAAGTTACTAATTGATTGTCTTAATCCAATAACAAACTATTTCCAAAGGGAAACATTAAAAAAAATGTTACCTGGTTTAATTACACCATCCACAATAGTTGCATCTTACTGAAAAAGGGAGGATCAAAATCTTCAACCAGTCACAGTGATAACAAAACTCACAAAACTGAGGGTTTGCTTCAGCTTAGATGTTTCACAAAAAATGCAGACACAATAAAACTAAGGTGAGGATTCGGTAAGCTTTGTATACACAGCTTTAACACCAGCTCTCCTTTGAGCCCACGAGGACTCTCACCGAAGTCAACAGAGCCCTTCACATGCTTGGAGTTAGGCATGTGAGTGTGTTCCTTGTTGGATCAAGACCAAATTTTTGGCGTGTCCAAAACAGAGTTCAGAAATCTCCCAAGAATTCTCACATGACTTCCAGTGTTTCCTGTTTCTGTTTGGGCTGCAAATCTTGCAAGAACTTTCCACAATGCTTCACCTTCATTTCAGGCACTCCAACTGCAGCCAGAATCAGGAAATGCAGAGCTGCATGAAAATGAAAAATAGCTTACTTAAGTTACCCTAGCACAGTCAAGCCTCAAAGACTCAGAACGGGTATGGTTCAAGTTCTGAGTTATGGGTCAGCTTCATGTATTTATTCATTTTGAATCTAAATGAATTTGCCTGTTGTTAACATGCTTTCCATCATTTCGTTCTCTGACTTGGCCTTTTCCAACAGTGCCAGACCTGCCTCACTTACTGAGCTGCAAAGAATGACACTCCCCTTATCCCTGTGTAAGTAACATCCATCACTGTATCAGCACCTGTCTGAACAGTGCTAGAGGAGGGTCAAGGTACTATTTCCTACCTTTGACAGGTGTTATAACAGCACCAAACTGCCCAAACATAAAAGTCTCCATTCTGAAAACTGTTAAATGTACTTTTCCCCCCTGCTATTCCATCCTCCCCATGGACTTTTTAGCTCCACTAAGGCCAAAAATGAATGCCTTTCATACACAGCAAAGGACAGGCTTTCTCTTTATTGAACAGCAAAATATAAAACTAAGCAACTGAGAAGGGAGCACTCATTAACACAACTGTTTGGGTGCTATGCCATAGCAAAACCAGGCATTGCCATTCTTAACATCATTCTCTGCCTTCCCATTGGGTTGGCACATCTAATCCTTATTATGATTGGATTCACACTGAAACAGTAGCACCAGATGAAAAAAAATGATCCCCCTATTAAAAACACAGAAGTTCATTTAGGATATTGAACCAACAGATATTATTGCTTACTCAGACAGAGTGTGTGTGTGCATGCATGCACACATGCATGCACAGACATTATATGTCTTCATTATTTATGTTACAGTAGGGCACAGGAACACTATTCAAGATCAGGGCCTAATTGCAATAAACACTGTACAGACAAGTAACACAGTTCCTCCCTCTAGAGAGTTTAAATCTAGATCTAAGACAGGATGTAGTTATTGGACAAAGCAGACAAACAGGGTAGAAATGTATGGATGAGGCAACAATAAAACAAACCTAAGTTAGCAGAAAACAGGGGCTCTCTGATATATTAGTAGATTCTTTCTTTCCTCTACATTTTCTAGTTTTCATTTCTATACTGTGTGTGTGTACACATGTGTGTGTATGTGCATGAATATGCACATTCACAGCTATATTTGCTGAATTTTCATAATATCTCTGTATTCTGTATCCCACATTGTTGATTTGTTCTGCGTTTTGTTTGGCCGTTTGTGGGTAATTACTAAAAAGAGTCAGTAGGAGTTGTTTAAAAAGCAGAGTTTAAAAAGGAAATTTTAAATATCTGTATAGTAACTATAGCAACATCCACAGCATGAAAAAATTAGAAACAAAACTCACTGCAATTGTCAAGCAGAGCAAGAAAAAAATATATGGCATAGTTTTAACCAGGAAACTAGCTTATTTTTTCACTATTAAAAGATGTCAATTAAAGTCAACCATCTCTACACACATTTCTCATTCATTAGAAGTTCAGAGATTGTACAATTATTGCAGTGATTCTCAACTAGGATCCCACAGGATCCCTTAAAGGGTGTCATGCCACCCAGCTCCTGTGCAGGGAGGTACTTTCCTACCCCATCGGGCACCAGTGTGTGCCCCAGGCACCCCAGCAGCTCCTGCAACTGCTCCTCTGGGGACTGTCCCCATTGCTGCCCCCCCGCCTTCCAGGTAGCCCCTGTGCCAGCTGCCCCCATGCTCCTAGCAGCACGCTCTGCTGTGGGTGAACCGAGCAGGTAGGTGGATGGAACCCTTCTTTGCAGCCCAGGTCATCCTCTAGACCAGCGTTTCTCAACCCGTGGGTCATGATCCAAAAGCAGGTGGCAAGAATGTATGAAAGGGTCACAAACAAACTTTAAAAACAGATCAATAAACTTTAAAAATGGATTCTCCTTTAAAAAAGAAAAATATTGGAAATCGCTGCTTTTCCCTTGCAGGCTGGCAGAGTTCCAGCCTGCGAGGGACTGCTTGGGGCCCCCCGCCCCACACACTGGGGGTCTGGGGGTAGCGGGTCAGGAGGGGGGGCACTGGGTCAGAACTGGCCAATGTTTACAAATGGGTCCTGGTACAAAAAAGGTTGAGAAGCACTGCCCTAGACTCTGTCCTTACTCCCATGAGGGCATATGAGACCCTGCAAGGTCTGTTTCAGTGGCAGGAGCTGCCCCTGTCCACCTCAGATACAAACAGAGGACTAGAAAATAGGGAGAGGGCAGATGGTGGAAGAAGCACGGTAGTGTTAGATCCTACTCCCACTGCTCTTACCTGGTACCAGCTAAATTGGTGATTCTCAACTTTTTCAGCCTCAAGACTCCCCTCCATATCTTTTCTGACTTCAGATTCTAGCTCACCTGTGGTATCACGAAATTCAGAAAACTTACAAAGAGGTGCCCTGAGGCTAAAAAGGCTGAGAACCACTGAACTCATGTCTTATCCTTGGAAAAAGTTAAAGACTTCAGAGAGTTTGGCTTTGGGGACGAAAGATGTTCCTTTAATAGAGGCCTAAATCCTTTAACAAAGGATTTTTCCATCTCAGACAAGTCAAAACGCTGCAGAAAACAGCAGTCACCTGGACTCAACATTATGACTGCTTTCTGAGTCACTCCAGGAAATGTGAGGGGATTTGCATATGTAGATTATAGGTGTGCATTTGCAGGGAGAGATGGTTGTTATTTTTATGGCTGTTACTATATTACTTCGGGCATTCCACAGGGGACATCCACTTTTTCCCCACTTTGCTCCTCTATGGGAAACCATACATTCAGTTATTGGTGACTGTCATTGAGAAGTAGCAAGTCTACAGTCTCAGAAGCATTTGAATGGACTAATAGTGTACGTCAAAAGATTGGTTTAAAAACCTTTTCTTCCTCCTTTTTAGCTTGACTGGGTTGGTTTAGTCAAGGATGATCCTGAACTGAGCAGGGGATGGGACTATGTCACCTTATGAGGTCCTTTCCAGTCCTTCTTTCCTATAATCCCTTCCCTGTTCTGAGGCTAGCTGGCCACACCTCTGCATAAAGCAAAGCCAACTAAAGCCTACTCCTAATTTAAACTAGCTGCTCACAGTTCTCAAATACTAGAGGCACTGCTGGAGACATCTCTATGAAACCAGAAGAATGCCCAAAGCAGAGAAATCCTTGCAGGTCTGGTTTACAATCTAATTCATTTTTTAATGCAATTTGATTATAAAATAATAACCCAAGTTAAGGATTTAGCCACAGGAGACACACATGTAGATACCATAATCATGTGAAAAAGCAGATTTAAAATACAGTCCACTGAAGACCAGAAAAGGGAACTGCAAAAACAAATGAGGGTAATAAAATAATACACTTTGCAAAGGATAAAGAAAATGCTGAAGTCAGCATTTTATGATAGCCCTTCATCAGGAAATGCCTGTGAAAACAGTTTTGGAAAGTAATAATTTGCCTTACTGATTTGTCTGCAGATATTCCTTGAAGCAAATGAGGCACAAAAGTCCTACTACTTTTTTTTTTTAATGGGAAAGAAAACAGCTTTCAGTGGAAGGAAAGAGACACTTGCCACCTCTTGAAAAAAGATAGACTAGCTTATTAAATGTCAGATATTAGAGGATATCAAACTACTAGAAGAGAGATCAAATTTCTGATACAAGAACAAAAGAAAACACTCCTGCATTCAAAGGAACCGAACAAAAAAGGATGGCCAAACAGTGGGGAAGCCAGTGGAGAAGTCAAGTATTTACCTAGCCAGGCTCTCTCTCTGAGTACCATCATCTCCCTTTTCATCATTCTTGGAATTTTTAATGGTACTGAACTGACACACAATTATGCAAATGAAAAACGTAACATTTTCTATTTCACAGCAGACAAAATGTGGATCTTGTGGCTGAAGGGGAGACTATCAGGAGAGAAAAAAATAAGTAAGAGAATGATTTTAAGGGCTCACATTATTATAAAAAAATTATAAAACAATAACAAATGTCATCTTAGTAAAAAAAAGAGCGGGGGAGAGCGGGATTATAACTGTAACATCTGTAAACCTGAGGGATCTGCCTATTGTTACCTGTTCTTTTTTTCAGTGGCTCCACTCTAAAACTATTGTCTCTCTACTGGTTGCGCTGGAGTTGCATAGGATTTGTACTAGTGTAACTGATAAGAGGATCTAATTAATTACCTTGCTTGCTTCAGAATCTTTCCATAGTGGCAGAATTTCCCCAACACTCAACCAGCTCATCCACAAACCAAATTTTGTTTGAAGATTGCACAGAAAAACTCATTAATAGCAAGTAAGATACAGCTAGGTCCTTCTTAAAAATATGTTTCTGAAGCTACCAACCTTCACATCTCTGGAGGCTTCTCAAGACTGGCATATGAATAGCCATTCTGTGCCCCTGTGATACAGTAGTGCTCATCAGCCTCAGTACATCATCCTCTTCATGGCACCATATATTCTGACTGATTTGGCTCAAGTGAGGGAATGGACATAAATGCTTCCCTTGTTTCTTGTACGTAGTTTGTCTATGAGATTGTGGAAGGGGGGGTGGGGTCAGAAAGGCAACTCTAAAACAAGGACAGGTCAAATGTTTGCTGTATTTATTCATCAGGAAACTGGCAGAATCAGATGCCTAGCTGTTACCTGAGTGAAAATCGGAGAGGAACAATAGCAAACAATGACAAGCAATAGGATGTGCCTTCAGGAGTTGCTTAAGCAAAAAAACTTACAGAACTCAGGACAGCAACTTAAACTTTTTTTTTTTTTTTTAAACTCAAGCAGGGTGCCCTGGCAACAGGATCATGTGGATGACAATAAGTATGCTTTTAACCTCCCCATAGTCCTCCAGGACAAGAGAGAAAAGCAAGTGGAGGTTCAAATGGATTACAAGTCAAGTAAGGCACTCTGCAGCACAAAGATGTTTGAAGCCAACTCATAGGACACATTTGTCAAGCTCTTAAAAAATAGAAATACAGGATCAAAGCAGAAGCACTTTGCAAATATTAACATTTGTCACCTAGTTTTACTTTTGATGTAATTCATTTTGAAGACATTTCTTTCTTGCTTTTTTAAACAGGATAATCTAGTTGTTCAGCACGCACGCTTGGCTCCTTCAAAAGAAACGTGACAATATTGCTGAAATATGGAAGATTTAACTAAAAGAATGCACATATTAGAACAAAGTTCTTCATAAACCAGCGCAGTGGAAAAATCTGTTCTTTTTGATGCCATCAAAACATTCCAGTAAGTGTTTTGGAAGTACTCCTCAAAGAAACAAACGTTAAATGATAATTCTTTGTATTATTTCAAATATAAGTAAGGCTAAAGTAACATTTGAGTCTACAAAATAAAGAAAACAATATGGGCTAGCCATCCTTCATGTCAAAGACAAGCCAAAAAGCCCCTTGGGCTAGCATAGTCAAGGTAGGCTGGCTTCTGTCACCAACAACACACAAGGAAAGCAATAACACCGGTATCATGTTCAGCTGCCTTAGGCTCCCCATCCTGAATGTCTAGGTAGCCATATACAGCTGGGTCAGCTAGGGGCATTCTCCAGTACAAATCTCAAACAGGGCTCAAACGCACCTCTCTGGAGTGTGAAGATGCCATAATTGTACTGCCACCACAACCCGCCAGCCTCAAAGGAGGTTCATTCATTTCAGAGGAGCTGTTCCACTGATACACCTATCCAAAATACACTCTGATTCAAAATATACACTCTGATTTAAAAAATGGCACAAAAAGAAAAAAAGATATAATTATAAAACTTTATCTTGACCATTTTCAATAGCGGCTTTTTCTCAAGTTCTGTGAACCATGCAGCTCATTCCCATCAGACAGGACGACAGACAGAAGGTAAGTCAAGTGTTTGGGTCAGTGGTGTGCTGAACTTTCTGCCAGCATGGGCGCCAGTTCTGTTTTCCTCGACCCTTCAATCAGATACTCTTCACATCTGTGCTGATTTCCAGAGCGGCAGAATTCCAGCTAGAATCCTAGGACTTTTAACTTGTTTTATGAGTGACCTTCTCCATACGGGGAGATTTACAGTTCTATGGCTGAGTAACGCAAGATATATAATAATAACAACAGCTCAGACTTAATTTAGGAAATTCAGTAATTGTCAAGTGTGGTAAATCATCTTTAAAGCAAACACTCTTAAAGTCTGAGAGATAAAGTTCATTCCCCTGTGATGAGGTGGTAGCATGGAATGCCCTGAGGTTCTGGGCAGAGTTTCAAAGCAGTTAAGTCACATTAGGTGAGATCCAGCTGCCCATGGCTGCTGGGATTTCTGAGAATGTTGGCACTGGGGTGACACACTGGATAATCTTTAACAGGGGAAGTCTGTCTGGTGCCTGCTCTTTGTTCCAACTTCACTTTCATATTTGAGAATCCTTATGACAGACTTTCTATTCACAGCAGTGTTTTAGCCTGTCACAAGTGTGGCCCCAGAGATTATAGTTAGGCAAATACAAAGAGAACCCACACATGCTTGAGTCCTTCAAAGTATCTTTTCTGTTTAGGTTCCATTTGTTAATATTTGACTGAGTCTGCGGTTTGAACAAGTACTTCCCAAATCTATTTCAATGTTTAATATATATATATATTAAATACTGAAATGCTCTGAACACTATATATATATATTTGACTGAGTCTGCGGTTTGAATAGGTACTTCCCAAATCTATTTCAGTGTTTAATAATATATATATAATAAACACTGAAATAGATTTGGGAAGTACTTATTCAAACCGCAAACTCAGTCAAATATATATATATATATATATGGTGTTCAGAGCATTTATGAGTAAAACCAGTTTGACAGGTTTAACCATCTATTCCTTCCTTGCACAATGTTATTCTTATAAAACTCTTGTCTTATCATGTAACTCATGAACTCACAATGCCCTCATGGCATCACATTCATTTCCTGAATGTCTCAGCACAATGATTTCTTAGAGATTGTAAAAGCAAAAGATCTAGGAAGATCTGGCCTGAAATATTTAGCACTATAATGAGGGTAATAGGCATTAAATTGTTGAAAGGCAAATAGACTGAAGTGCATGAAATTTTGCTTCTTTTGTGACATGATATAATTTAAACTTCTTAGATAGATATTCACAGAACTCATGATCCTGCTTATTATACTAATGAAACTTTTGCACTATCATGATGAAAATTAGAAGCGAATTGAAGTGGTTAGTACTTTGGTTCTTACACATGAATTTTGATTCACTGTGTATACCAGAGTATATTCTGTCACTGGGATGTAAGTACATAATAAGAAAGCAAAAATTGTCCTAGGATTGAGATTTCTACTGATTTAAACATTCAAGTTTAATCTTGCATGGTCTCAGTGTTACTGACTATTTATGTCATGGTAGTGCGTACATGGTCCTATTATTATTGCTTATTGTTAGAGGACTGTACAAGAAGCCTTACACAATGTTAGACAACATAAGGTTGCATCCATAGATAGTTTGTAGGTGCTCTTCCAAATTAGTATAATGGATATTATTGAAGATGACATGTAATCTCAGTATATGCAGCCTGATTCCCAGTTACACAAAGGCTTCTTCACACCATCTCTGTCACTGCCTGAAGTCTTAAGTTGTTGTAAATTGTATAGTTCTTATTCAAACTTATATATGTATATTTTCCTTAAGTCCCCTTCCCCTAGCAGGGCTGTAACAAATGAGTTAGTGTAAATGAGAATCAGGCTCCCAGGTTTTTCCTACGTCATATGTACGTGCATTCTGACCTGTCTATTGTTGCACGCAACAAAACTGCATTTATTTACCATATAAAATGGTACAGGGAGGGGTCTGTGATACTAATGATTAAGGGAGCCAAAAATTTAAAAAATATATTCATATTCAAAGGATCATGATGAAGTTAATATAGTTAATATGGTGGCATATTAAAAATGGTGGAATTTTTTCCAGAAAATGTGAAGAGTGTAAAGAAGTATCAAAATAAACATTAATTATAGATAAACCTAAATGTCTGTTTTAGCTAAGCAGAGCACTCAAGAATTTGGGTTTATCTGGTAGGGTGAACCTATCATAGACCACATGACTAATTTACAAGCTTACAGTAAACTTTATTTAACAGCATTTGTAGGCCAGTGCATTACCAGCTTTAATTACAATTTTATAATCTGCATCAGCTAAAGCAGAATGGAATTAGTGACCAGTTACCAGGCCTAAAGTGCAGGTGGGCTGTTTCAGTCACCTCCAGATCCAGCATCGTAACTCTTCTTACAGGTTCCCAAGTTGCTCCTACTGTCATTTACTATCCATTTTTAGTACACACCTTTTTAAGGTCTCTGAACTATCTGGATCTGTTGTATTTACCAAATTGGGTTGGAAACCATACAGATCATAGCCAAATAAGCTGTATCAAGACAAGGGGTCTTGGTTTTCTTTGTTTTTGTCTGGACCAAAGACACTGGAAGGATACTGGACCTGTTGAAGTCAGTCAAACTTTTCTAATTTAATCTGTATTTCTGCTCACAGGCAGAACCAGAAAGCACAGATAAGCCTGAAAATGAAAAATGGGGGAAAGAAACATTTTCCAGACCTTTCATTAAGAAGGAAAGAAAGAAGTTCTATTTACACAGGTTTGTTTCTAGTTTAGGATTAAAGCTTGCATCAGGTACTTTATTTGAACTGGCTAACTCTTACTGAGCAAATGCCTGAACTACTACACACCAAAATTCTCACCATCCTCTTTAAGGCCCTTTCTATAATATGCAAATCCACACATCCTCACCTGTAGCATTCACTTAGCATTTCCCAAAGGCATATTATCACAAATTAAAAATAGCAACATGAAAGAATGCTAGGAAAAATGCAGGTTTAATTGAA